GAACTGCAGTTTGTGGCACTTCCTTACAGAGTTTGCCGCTTGGTCAGAACTAGAGACTATTTCTTCATAAGGAGAGCAAGATAAGATGATCTCCCTCTTCTTTGATTGACTGATGCTCTACCCAATCATCTGTCAAGTATTCTTTAAAGTGCCTGCCCATCTCCAAACAGTCTCCAAAGATGGCTTCTCAGATGGTTCTGTAAAACCAAACAATCTGGTTTGCCAGATTAGTTTGAATCAACATTGACGGTTAAATCCCCCCAAACATGTCAGACAGCAAACACACAAGCAGGTAGCTTTGAACTGGAGCTCTAAGCACAATCAGATAGGTGAAGCTGTACATTAAACATTGCCATGTCGGTGGTTTGCATGAAGAGTGGTCTTTACACTCACTAAAACTGCATTAAAAATCCTCATATATATGTCAGACATTACAGCAGGATTTACATTTCACCTTTGGTCTTTGGTAAACAAAACATGCCAAATAGTTCTATTGATTCTGAGGCTAGTCTACTTGGCATTCAGAATGCCTTCATAAAGGTCTGGCAATACAATTGTGGAGGAAATCATCTACTTGTCTGCTAATCCGTCAACAACATTAGATATGTTGCAAAATGATTAAGCAAAAAACATGAAGCAAGTTGGTTGCTGTCATTTCACTTCCGAAGCATTCCAAGCATCACGAGAAGAACAAAATAGAGCTTCCTATGCCACCATAGTTGCAAAGCAGGATTTCCATACAATAACTGGTTTCTGTCCCCCAGGGTTGAAAAAAACCCAAAGTACAGAGGTTGGTTTCCCTCTCTGACTTTAGTATGAAAGGATTCAGCTAAGGCTTTGCTTGGGATTCATCCCTGCACCACTGAGACTGCTTGTTTTTATAACTATGGTTTAGATATGAAACGCTTTCTCACTAACTAATTCTGGTTATTCATAAAGTGTGAGAATGATATACCAAGGGCAATCTCCAGACATTTTACACAGCAGACATGCCTTAATGTTTAGCAAAAATCCACAAGCTTCCTAATCATTGTATCTTTTTTTTCTCTGTCTTTAGCCCGCAGTCTTCTTACTTATCTAGTACTCAGTTTTCATATAATCTTGTCGTGACATATATATATATATATATTATTGCTGTCATTTATAAAATACTTTATATGCCTCCATATATGGGGAAGTGGGGGCTGTGTGGTGGTGCAATGTAATTTGCACCATGTAGCATATAGGAAATCGTGATGTCTGTGATGAGCAGTGGTATGAAACAAAGCGACCACTTCTGCTTCCCTCTGCACAGGAAGAGTCAACAGAACCGCTTTGTTGTAATCACTTCTGTCTTTTAAATGAAATACATCACACGGAAGGGACGATAACAGAGGCCGTATGTGCTAGGCTTAAGACATGGAGTGACATTTCTGCTTATTTGCACATGAGTTCAAAGTGTGGCTACCTACCATGTTGATTAAAGAGTATTACACATAGTGTGCACATACAGACAAGTGCATGTATGGGCTGTTCGGAAGTGAATTTGCATATCTCACTTAATGCAAAATAAATGTATGGCTCTACGAGCGGTTTCACTCCGAGCCCTCTGACATTTGTCAGTAAGAAGAACAGAGACAAGTTGTCTATGTCGAACTAGATCAAGTTGGGTAAGATGTTTTAATCCTGCTTACACTGCTGCTATTCTCTATCTGACAACTGCAGGCGTTCAGTTGTGCCTCTATCGCTCTTAAAGAATGTAATGAATCAATATTGAATATCTGTCGGCTGCCTCGCTGCATCTGCTCCGTCAGTTGTTACTTCCTTCACCCTCTGAAGAAACACAAGTTTCACAGCTCTGGTTTCCTTGTGCAACACTTCAGTAACATACAGCCACAGTATAGGAAACTTTTAAGTACATTTTGTGGCTGGGGAATCTGACCAGTTGAGATAAAGTGAGGAGCTGCAGGCTGTCAACGGATGTCATTGGTCTTTTTGTTTTCCTTCAAACTTGCTATTGTGGTTCAGCCAGTTCACATCACGCGTTTCCATTATGATTGATTCTTCCCTAACCACAAATACACTATCTGCTAAATAATGTATTGTTTTAAGGTATGGAGACAACAGCTGAAGGAAAATATATCATGTAACTCCTAGAGCTGCAACGATAAGTCGATAGACAGAAAAATTATTTCAACTATTTTGATTAACCAATGATTTGATTCGTGCAAAAGTGGTAGTAAATGTAGTTTGAGCCTCTCAAATATGGAGAGATCTTGCATTTTCCATTTTCTATCATACTATTTTCTGACTTTTTGATACCAAAATATTAGTTAATTAACGTAAGAAAATTATCTGTTGATTAATCGATAATGAAAATAAAAGTAAGCAGTCTTAGAAGGTTCTTTATTCAATGGAACAAGATGCTTTACAACATCTGATCTGACACACAATTCCTTACCCATTTGGATATTGCTGAAATAGTACAACTTAGCTGGTCTTCTTTGGGTGTTGTCTCTCCTCCAGGTCAGAGAAACAGGTAATCTTTCTGTGAGAGGGTGCAGAACTTAAGTTCCCTCAGCAGCCAATAGGAGAGACCTTGAACCTTACATATATGCAGCGCAGTACGTGCCAACATGGTAATTCCAGTACCATACCCATGAAATGCTGGTATGATGTTTTGTGTAATTCCAATGAAGCTGCATTCACTAAAACAACCTTCCTTCCATATAGCCTCCCAAGAATGGTTTTCCTCTTCTGTTTGTATCCTCTTTGCATTGTGGTGAAATACATTGTGAGCTAGATTTTCTGTAGTGGCCACATTTGAATAATAATAGATTACATTTGTATAGCGCCTTTCAAGGGACCCAAGGCCGCTTTACATGCTGAACAAACAAAAAAACAAAAGGGGCAAAATAATAAGTAGGAGAGAAGCAGGGGGACTGTGATGGGTTAGGGGTCAAAGGCCATGGTGAATAGGTGAGTTTTTAATGATGACTTGAAGATGTCCATGGAAGCAGGCATTTTAGACAGGTTAGCATGCCTAAATGTATGAACTAGTGATTACTGGTGTCCCAGTGTTGGCCCATGTGGTGTGGCCTTCATCTTTTCTCAAGGAGTTGCTGACTTATTTGTGAACCCTTGTTCCACTGGAGGGAAGTTTTATAGGGTTTCAAGACTCTGATAATGCTGTTTCAAAAGATGTTTGAACTCTGACATGAATCCAAGTGTGGTTGAACCTAGAAATGCAACAATTAGTTGATAGACAAAAAGGATTCACCAACTATTTCGATAATCGATTGAACATTAAAGTAATTATTCATGCAGAAATGCCTGAAATGCTGAGTTTTTCAGTTTTACACCATATTAGACCAAATTTCTTGGGTTTTTGACTGAAAAAACAAGACATATAGATACTTTCATTAACTGGGATATACTTTTTTCACTATTTCCTGACATTTAATAGGCCAAACGTTTAATTAATGAATCGATTATGCGATGTGAATTTAATCAATTAAGTTGCAGCTCTTGTTGAAACACTAACTGCCTTTAAGAAATGTTAACGTGAGGTGATGATCATCATAGACATTTGTTAAGTTAGGTTTTAGAGTTTTGTGATGGATGCTATTACAGTATTTAGTGTATCTACTTATCTGTACTGCATTTCATTGAAAAATGTTGTCGAGCAACCTGAAACCCAAATACCAGTATGGCGTGGTTGAGTTGCTAGTAATAGTGATTCAGAATGAACTGTAACTCATTCATGCTTTTACGGGGAATGTACTTGAGTGCAAAACCAGAAGTATCTGAATGTACAAGTTGGTGGCTTCAGAGGTCTTTCTGTTCATGTATCAGTCAGCGTAGCAGAGATGAGTCACCACTGCCTATTTTCATGACTGGCCCTTCAGCATGTCCAGCACCTGCACTTTAAATTCATTTCCCCACACACTGTTGACTCGGTGTACAGTTCTTATCTCTGCCTGACTGAACTGAGCTACGAACCCCAACATTTTGACTATTTTCACACATTCTGAGTAAACAGGGAGGGTCAGGACAAACTGTCTCTCTGGTATAACCCCGGGCTAAAGGTGGATCACGGTTGTGTTATAACGGTAGACTGAAGAGAACAGACGTCATTGATACCAGAAAGTTGCAGCCCATTTTTTATACCAGACACTGCTTTGCATACCTGAGCACATTTGGGAACAGGTATGTCAGACGAGCATAACCGCCTACAGAAGTTGCAGATAAAACTCCCCCGCTGTGTCTCTACACTTGCAATAAAACATTTTAATGAGGGAAAAACACACCAGTCATACCTGAGAAAAGTCATACCCCTTTATATTAGTTCTATATTTTTAAGTACAACCGTTAGACAATGTAGACACAACAGTGTTAACTGGGCTGCATGTACTCTTTAAGCCAACCAGGTGAAGAAAGTTATGGTTTTCCTTGTGATTTCACTTCCTCTTGTTGTTGAGGCTAAAACAATCTGTCCTTCTGTGTGCATAGCTTGTCTGGTCTGTGAGTAATCCTGCATATGTTGCACAACTGAAAACTCAGGGACTGTGCGTTTATGCCTGATTTAGGGATAAGTTAGGATTTTTTGTGTGAAATTGGGTACTTTCTGTCTCAGTTTCTTCTGTACGTTTCTACTTTAATGCAACTCTGAAAAGTTTTACAAAAATTCAGTCAGGCTAAAGGTCATGAATTTAAAAGTTTGGTGGGTCAGCAAAAACATGGTATAAAAGCCAGTGCAATAGCAATACAAATCTACTTGCATAAAATAACACAAATGCAGTATTGTGTGCTGTACCAGATGATGTGAGCCAGTGTTTAATAAGTCCACTTTAGTGAATGGAAAGTTTGACATATAGAGATATATCTGATTCTTTGGGGAAATTTGTTAAACAATTTTGGCGCTGCAACGACAAAAGTGTTTCCCTTACGTTATACGGTACTGATGTTAACAGACATTGTGGAAGTGGCAGTCTGACACTGTTATTCTTTTTCTCCCTCAGGTCTTTGTAGTGTATCAGCACACTTGTCCTCCTACCTTCGCCTCCGTTACCTGTGCCTCACTGACTGCTGTGCAACTCAGCCCTGCTGTCGGCTTTGGTTTCCCCCCGACTGCCGGAAAAACCATTGAGACAAGAGAGAGGCCTCTGTCTCTAGAACTGCAGTCAACCTTTCTGAGAGCTCTGCCACCCCCTCCTCCTCCTTATTTCACTTCATAACCATAACCTACAGCTGCCTCACCACAAAAAACGGTTGGCGATTGCTCAGCAGAAGGATCGACCGTTGTCCACCGCCTGGCCCCGGACTGGTGCTCATTCATTGGGGGAGGGAGGGGAAGGAAGGCAGCTGAACGTCGTGCCGCTTTCCCCGGAGATGAAGCTCCAGGCTGTCATGGAGAACCTGCACAGGCAGCAGAGGGCCAAGCTGCTGATGGAGCAGCAGCTACAGCAGCAAGCCGCCGCCCAACACTCTCAGGTCCGCACCATCGTTGGAGGAGGGGACGAGCCGATGGGGAGCCCGGCCCCCGAGGCGGAGCAGGCCCAGATGGCGGCGCTGGCAGCCATGCGTGCCGCCGCCGCCGGGCTGCAGAGGGTCTCGGACAGCCCCATGTCAGACCGCAGCAGTGGCGGCGAGGACGAAGATGACGACGATGACAATGAAGACCGGGAGGAGCATTACAAGGACATGATGGGGTCAGATGAGGAGGAGCAGATGTGAGTCAAGTTATTCTTAACATAATCTGCAGTGTTGCTCTACATTTTTTCCTTTTTAAACAATATTCTGTTTTTAATGTATACAGCAAACGGAAATGGGACGAGGAAGACTTCGAAGGCGAGATGGAAGAAGACTTTGATGACGACCTGGCGGAGGAGGGTCTGCCAACGGGCCATGAAGCTGTGGCTCCAGGGAAGGGAATCCTCCTGCTGCCGCACCGTCAGCTCCACCCTCACTCTCAGCTGCTGAAGGCCCGGCCCAGCGTCGACCAGGAGCCCCGGGTAGCCATCATGCCCCCCCACGCCACGCAAAGCCATCTGAGCGGACAGGACCACGGAGAGTGGACCTATGAGGAGCAGTTCAGACAGGTAGGATGTCTTCTTTATATGCCTCCTACTATTCTGATTGGGGTTTTGCTCTCATTTTAAGGGACAATTGCTAAATTGTTGTTGCTAGTGGAGATTTCAAGTCAGCTGTTGAGAACCAGATCAGCTTATTCCCTAAAATATCCCTAAATCAGCCGCTGTAGCACATTGAGAATCTACAATAATCCAATATGTTGGTTGTAGACCAGTGAGCCACATCTGGCCTTCACACCTCTCACATCATGTCACCTTTCCAGCTGAAGTAATCCGACCAGGGCGGGAAATTAACACCAGCCACCAGCCAAATGTTGATAAACTCTTAACTGAGCTTTTATACATTTGTCTTTGCCACCTGACATTCTGGTGGGCTACATCTGTCCGGTTTTTGCCAGGGTGGCTTAGTGCCTCCAAAGACTTGACATTTACTGACTGCTGTTGCCAAAGAGTGAAATGAATAGGACTGCTAGCTGAGGCGGAGGAGCTGAGGGAAGTGGGGGAGGGGTTCGGGTGCATTTTAACAGCTTTACCATGCTGGCGTTTACTGTAAACATGCTTGTGGGCTGGATATTATGAGGGAGGCCCTGGTGGAATAAGACAGGCTGTTTACATGAAGAGATTTAAGTCTGTCAACAGCTAAGTTAAGATGGAAGGAGGCTCGTGATAAAAAAGACTGTGAAACTCGTGAACGATATAAATAGTGAACTCACCATTCACTACAGAGGATTAAAAACTCAATCACTTGTTGAGATACTGAATTATTTGCATTTTCTGAACAATTACAGTAAATGTTACTACTAAAAGAATAGATACAAGCCTTTGAGAAAATAAATGACCTTTTCTGACTAAGTTTTTTATGTTTTAGCGATAGTAACATATTATTAAAATGTTCTTAATGGAATCAATGAATCAATTCAACCATTTCAACTTGCCCCTGCATTGCAAAACTAACAAACTAAGGCTGCTTTACTGGGATTAAAGTGTGGCATAATACTGAGCCACCATTTCATGCAAAGGCAGCTTATATGACACAACAGAAGCCACTATTGAAATTCAAACACACTCGTGGCCTGTAGCAATATCTAAAGCCATACAATATTTTCTGACTGAACAGCAGCTTGTCTTTTAGATACCTCAACTCTTTTAGAAGATAAAACTGGTTTGGTATGTTTGGAGAAGATTCTAGAAATGTATATTGATGCTATGTTTGAGGTAAACAAGCTTAACCCCAACCATTTGCTTCATTTTTAAACTTTACCATTTATTCTGTAATTTAAGGCCCATTTCTTGTAATTACAGAGTGTATGGAATAAAACTCCTCTAAAACCTAAACCTTCTCTAAATAGTCCACCACTCCCTCTGTAAAGCCTTGAATTGATACCCTCAACAGTTAGTGGTTTTCATACGTCAGGTACGCAATGCACAACATTTTTATCATGGCATGTCAGTAAGTTGCTGACGGTTATATAATCAAGGCAGCCAGTATATTGGCTGTTAAGATAATGTTACCCAATCCATTGTTGATTAAAACCTATGTCACGCCTATACAACGTCCCCATCTATAGGGGGACAGGGCGGAGGGGGAGAAACACACTGTCTGCTGTCATTTAAAACCTTCTGCATTTTAACATGGTTTAGGGAATAAAGCAACAGGCACATCTGTTCGCAGTGAGTTGTGGCTCTCAACCTCCTCACTGCTGATGGTTTATAATGTTGTGAATCCAGAATTTTAGTCCATGACTCATTTGGCCCTTGTATGATTACGGTGATTAGTAATAATTGCAGCTTTAGCCTGTGATTATATTGCTCTGTGAATGTGCTGTGTAAAGGAAAAGCAGCCGACCTGTAATGACGAAGAAAGTCTGTCCGCTGATAATTCTAACCCAATGCAAATCAAACTCAGTCATTTCAGCTTTACTTTATATTTCTTCTTTTTCTATATGAAACTGGCTCTTGTGGTTTATTCTCACCATGCGACAGTTAGATTATAGACCACAGTTGTGTCTGTTTGTTAAAACATGTTCAGTATAAACCGAAGCGGTTAAGACATTTTAAATGTTGACATTATCTTGTAATATTTGTAATAGTGGCGAGTCATACCAAACCAAAACAAAATGTCACAACTTACTTCAGCTGCATGCAATAAAATGTCCCGCCGCCTGAAACCTCACCAAATAATTCAATATGATGCAGCTGTCAAAGATTTCCTGCATTGCAAATTTGCGATTTGCGACAAGCTCTGAAACCGACTTAAGTTAGCTTAATACTTTGCTCTGTGCCATGTTAGACAATTGCTACCCAAGACCCTCCTGCAACTATTCTATAAAATGTCGCTCTGCTTACTTACACATTAACGTTGAGTGTCACGCCGCTGTAGTTGAGGCAGATTTGCAACAGCAGATTACAGTTAAGCTGAAATGAGCATAACACTTTTTAGCATTACAAACTGAATTATAATCAAACTACTATAAATACAGCGTCCCTAATTTACAAACACAGGAAAACATTTGTTCAAAATTATTGGAAGCGCAAACAAGAGATGTGTGGTTATTCTGAGGAACACAGTAGTTTGTCCTTTAATGATTGTTTGTTCTGTCCACATGAAGACAATATTTGTCCACTTCAAAAGTCCCTAAGAATCATGGGAGAAAGTCATGATCTCCAGCCTTGTGAACTACTCTCATGTGTTGTTGAGTTGAATGGTGTGCAGATACCGTGTTTTGGAGGGGCACACTGGGTGGGGAGGAAGGGGTTAAGGCTGTACAGTTTATTTTGGGCAGGTGGGTGGAGGCTGTTGGAATGTGCCTGAGGGAGGGTGATAATGTGGCCACTGGGAACCCCAGATCCTCAGCAGAAACCCTGCGTGCCTCTTATCAGTCGGCAGCAGTTGGAGATCTTCCAAACGGAGAACTGTCCTTTCTCTGTGTTGTGTTTAAAGTCACGTCCTTTGTGAGGTCCCAATGTCACATACAGTTTCTCTATGAGCATCACTATAGCAATGCTTCACGAGCCAGTCCAAGGTCCTTGTTAGAAGGTGTTAGGAAATAAATGGAGAGAGGAGAGGAAATAGAAAGGAGAGATGCCTCACATGGGGAAGATGTCATTTAAAAACATATTTTAACATGTTAATAACTAATGTCATAATGTAATAAATCAATTTAAGAAGTTCAGTAAAGAAAGTCTGGCAAATGAGTCCAAAGAAATAGGTTGAATGTCACACCACATCTAGATCCAAGGTGCCATGTAGGTAAGTGAAGCAATCAAATAAATGCTAAGGTGAGGTTGCCCCCAGGCTGTGTGAGGCTAACATTTATCAGCCGAAGCCCGACCTGCATTCCTGTTGGATCAGCCGTCCACCTTCCTATCTGCCCACTCTGAAAGGTCAGACTATATCAAGGCAGCGGTGTCAGGGTGCAGAAGAATTACTTAAAGGACAAGGATTCATGCAGATATCAAATTATGCCAGCATCGTTGGATCATTTTGTAATTGAAACGACGGCTCAGCTGAGTTATTTCAGGGATACCTCAGCAGCCCATATCAGTATCACTCTTTGGAATTTAACTTTTAATGTTAACACCCTTTTCAATTTAATGGTATATTTGCTTTCCAACAGCCAATAGGCTTGCAGGCATCTGTTCCAATCAGCAACCAACCGAATGAGGGAAATGTTTGACTGTGGTTACTGAGTCACATAGGTTATATTTAAATGTTCTTTAGATTAAAGGTGGGGTAGGTCATTTTGGAGAAACCAGCTCGAGTGCGCTAGAATTTGAAAATACACAGCCGGAGAAAATCTGCCACTTCCTTACAGAGCCCTTCCTCCAACACACACGAACGCGCACATGACCAATGAGGGCACGAGATAAGTTTGTGCACAGATGGAAGGCTGACAGGCAGGCAGGCCATCCAGTTATTTTAGCCGGGCCGGCTAAAATGATTGGTCGTGCTTTTTACAGTATTACAGCTTCCACAGATGACATTTTTTTATGGATTTTTTGTCAAAGCACTTAAGATATTCATTGCTATCGGGATGTTAAGAGCATTCCATGGAATATAACAAAAAGTGTATCTCGAGCCGGTTTCTCCAACTTACCTACCCCACCTTTAAGTGCTGATATAAGTACAAAATTGGGATTTTGATTTCAAAAATAAATATTGTTTCTCTCTCAGTTTTAATAGGAACAGTTTTCTTCAGTAAAACATTACATTGAGATATGTGGTTTATCCAGAATAATGAACTCATTGCTTTGAGAAGTTGTTCTTGAATTTGCAATTTTCCTCGCTTTACCTCAAGCAAAACCCTTTTGATTCCATCATGTTTGGATGGCAATTGGAAAAGAAGTCTATCGCCTATTATTTGAGAGTTATCCTGTTTTGAACAAACCCTCAATGTTTATGCTATGTGTGGTAGGAAAATGGCATGTGAGCACAGGAGAAGCTCATGCTATGTTGAAGGTGTGCGCTGCAAATTTTCTAAGGAAGAACTTTTGTCTCAACCTCAGAGTTTACAGCCATGATCAACTATGATGGAAGAACACGGAATGATAAATGAGCTGGATTACATTTTTAGCTGGATGCTAGTATCTCATTGAAAGAGATGGATGAAGTAATGACAAAGTCCTGACAAATGATATCTTTATTCACATACATTTTCTCCGGGCCTTCTCTATTTTCTTTTTCTTTGGCTCCTGAGCAGCCAATAGTGGTGGATTTACGGGTTACAATCTGTTTTCATGAATGTGTAGTCAATGCTATGATATACATAATATAACAGGCCCACTTCCTGTCCCCCTTTTATAAACAATATCCTCCTCAGGCCAGAATTCGTCCAAAGGCCATGCAGAGCCTTTGAAGTCTCCTCTCCTGTGTCTCTGTCTGCTCTAAACACCAGCAGCTGGGCAGATGGAGCCCAGATGGACAGTAAAGTAGGGATGTCTTTAAAAATTCATGGCACTCACCATGATCAGGGCGAATGGAGGGGAGTGTGCATTAAACATTAAATTGC